GGGGGCCCATACTGGCAGCATGCACGGCGGGGAGGACCGCACTGGCGTTGCGCACGTGTGGGGGGAAGCCATGCTAGTGGGGGGCACCTACATTGATGGGGGACCCGTATTGACGCGGCACCCGTAGTGGGGCCCCACATTGGCTGGTCATGCGGGTGGGGACGCGTGCTGATGCGGTGTGTGTTGAGAGGGACCCATATTGGTGTGATACACGGGGATGACCTGTAGCGGTGGACACATGGGAGGGACCATATGGGCCCGGAACAAGGGGGAACACCACATTGGTGCAGGTGGTGGGTGGGGGAGCCATACTGGTGTGATGCGGCTAGACATGGGGGACCCTTATTAGCGTGACACGGGGGGGGGGGGGGGGCCTTCCCCTAAATGGTCCCCCAATGTGGGCTCCCCCATGTGCATTTGGATATGGGTCCCCCCAGTGTGTGTGTGTGTGTCCAGTACAGTTCCCCCCCGTGTCTCTTCAGTGTGGGTCCCCCCCTTACATGCATCCCTTTGTGTATCATCCCAATTTATGTTCCGGGGGGGGGGTGTCCCCAGTATGCGTCCCCTCCCCAGGTGTCCTCACTCTGGGCCCCACCGTGTGTGTCTGTGTCTCATTGATATGGGTCCCTGTGTGTGTGTGTGTGTGTGTGTGTGTGTGTGTATGTGTGTGTGTCTCCCTCCCTCCCCAGGGTGTGTCCCCAATATGGGTTTCTTCCATATGTTTGTGAGCGTGACCCCAAGATGGGTCCCCTCCCCACACACGTGTCCCCCCAATTAGGGCCCCCATATATGTGTGTGTGTGTCTGTCTGTCCGCCCACCCCCAATTAGAACCCCCCATGTGTGTATGTGTGTTTGTCTCTGATATGGGTCTGTGTGTGTGTCCAATTAGGGCCCCCCATATGTGTGTGTGTGTCCGTGTGTCTTACTGACATGGGTCCCTGTGTGTGTCCACCCCCATGTGCATGTTCTCTATATGGGTTCCCGCCATGCATGCGTGCACACATTTCTCCCCAGTATCAGTTCTCTCATAGGTGTGTCTCCCTGATGTGCCCCCCCCCCCCCATGGGTGTGTGTCCATATGTGTTTCCCCAATATGGATCTTCCTGTGTGTGTGTGTGTCTTCCCACTTTGGCCCCCCCGTGTGTGTGTGTCTTCCCATGTGCATGTTGCACATATCCCCCTGCATGTGTCTCCCCAATATGGGTCCCCTGTACGTGTGCATCTCTAGTGCAGGTCCCACCCAAGCATGCATCACCGTGATATGGCGGCATCCCTGTGTGTGTGTCTCTCCCTGATATGAGTCCCTCTCTGTGTGTGTCACAGTAGAATGGGTCCCCTGTATGCGTGCATTTCCCTTGTGTGAGTTCCCCTTATATGGAGACCCCCCAGCTCCATGTGTGGTTCTGGTGGGTCCCGCCCCATGCGTGTCACCCCTATATAAGTCTTCTGTGTGCACACATTGCCTCAACGTGGTTCCCCCATACATGCACCCCCGTTTTCCATCCTGTCAGTGTGCGTGTCACTCTAATATGGGTCCCCCCCATAACCATGTTGGTGCATCACATGATCTGTGCCCGTGTGTGTGACCCCCCCCGCTGCCCCATAGCCAGCTGCATGGCACCGTTCCACTCGCGCCCCCCTGACTCAGCCACATCTCTCCCCCGACTCACCCCCTCGTGTCTCTGCCCTGCAGGAGTGGGTGTCTGAGGGCTACTTTGCAGACGGGGTTTACTGCCGGAAGTTGGACCCGCCGGGCGGACAGTTTTACAGCTCCAAGCGCATCGACTTTGACCTCTATACGTGACCCCCGAGGCCCAGATTTTCAGGGCAGTCCCAGCCTGGAGACTTTGGGGGGAGGGATCTTTGTGTACACAGGTTTGGATTAAAAATGTTGTGTTTCACCCCAGAGCTGGCTGCCACTCCGTTCTACCTGGCCTCTAGCTGCCCGCTCGCAGCAGGGGGAAGTCTCCCTAGAGCCAGCTGCATGGGGGCACCTATATAAGTGTAACGCGCGTGGGGGCAGGGTAGCTTGATTTTGGGGAGACCGCTGCATCATAGGAACCGTACATGGGCGGAACTTATATATATGAGTGTGACACACGTATGTCTTTGTGGGGATCCTGGTTTTAGGGAGACGCATGGGGGGGGGACCTATATAGGTGTGACACGGGGCATCCTGATTTGGGGAGATAGCTGTATCATAGGAACTTCCTAGCACTGGGGGCACTCCCATAGGCATGACACATGTAGGTGGAGGATTGCGGGGGGCTGTTTTTGAGGTGACGCACCCTGCACTGATGGGGCTGGTGTCCGAGGTCTTTCCAGAGATACAGATACGGGAGGGACCCATGGGTGGGAACTTATTTTCTGGGCAGGGGGGACCCCTTTTAGGGAGACACTGGAGGCGGCAGGTCAGCAGGCTGATATTGGGGTAATACCCATAGCAGTAAGTGTCCAGGGGCTGGATTTTCAGGGGGTGGGAGCATATTGGTGTGACACCAACCAACCCACGGGGGACCCATATTTGTGTGACACAGGAGGGAAAAGGTGCTGGGCTTTCTGCGGGGGGATCCATATTGGGGTGACACATGCATGGGGGGGGATATGAGTGTGACACGAGGGGGGATGGGCAGTAGGGCAGCCCCCCCTCCAGGTTGTGACACAGTAATAGTGGTTCCTGTGGGTGTCTGTTACCCCAGTAATGGTTCCAGGGATGTGTTACACCAATAAAAGTCCCCTGGTCACCCCAGGGGGACTGGGGTCACCCCAGTATGGTCTCCCTTTTTGGGTGCCACCCCAGTAGGGGTCCCCTGCATATCTCATCCCCCAATAATAGTTGCTAGCGGTGTGTAACCAATGACAGTCCCCAGGTAGGTATGTGCCACCCCAATATGGGCCCCAGCCTTTGGGTGTGTCACCCCAATAGCAGTCCCCTGTGTCTGTTACCCCCATAAGGGTTCTCACGTGTGTGTCACACCAATTAGAGTCCCCCACAGCTAGACCTGTTCCATTCTCAATAAGGATCCCACCCCATGTCACCCCAATATAGCCCCCACCCACCTGTGTCACCCCAACATGGGTTCCCTATGGTGTCACTTCACCATGAGTCTTCCTGTCACCCCCCGATATAGCTCCCATCATGTGTCACCCCAGTACTGGTCCCCCCCCCCCCCCG